AGAGAACTTGGAATCGTTTTTTGTGGAAACGCTAAAACGCGAGAGAACTTGGAATCGAACCCACTGCGTTCCAACCACTACGACATCGCGCTTGTTGTGTGTTAAGTTAAGTCACTCTTTCTTTTAATTTTATTTCTTCTGGTCCGCGAAATCTTGACGGTTTTATTCGTTTTCCCCTTTTTTTTCTTTCTTTTTTTGTTTTTTTAATGCGTGATTTTTTAAAAGAATGTCATGTTTTTTTAAATCGTTGTACTTTTCAGATTACATGAACTGTATTCAAATTCCATGAACTTTTTCTGATTTCGATGAACTTTTTTCAGATTACATGAAATTTTCAAATTCGATGAACAATTTTTTATAAATTGTTGAACTTTTTCCAGATTACATGAACTTTTTTCAAATTTGGCAAACTTTTTCTGAATTCGATGAACTTTTTTCATATTACATGAACTTTTTTCAAATTTGATGAACTTTTTTCAGATTACATAAAGTTTTTTAAATTCGATGAACTTTTTCTAAATGCGATGAACTTTTTTCGAATTCGATGAACTTTTTTCAAAACCGATGAACTTTTTTCGAATCTAATGAACTTTTTTTTGGATTCGATGAACTTTTTTTCGAATCCGATGAACTTTTCTTCGAATTTGGTGAACTTTTTTCGAATTCAATGAGCTTTTTTTGAAAATCGATGAACCTTTTTCATTTTTTTGAACTTTGCTTAAAATTTGATGAACTTTTTTTCAAATTTACGTTTTCTTTTTTGAGATAATTTATATTGAGTATATATTAATGTTTTACTGCACGAAAAGGTTAACTAGAACTGCTTTCTTGAAGAAGACATCAAAGTTACTAACTTTGTTCTGGCGCTTAGTGTGGTGCACTCGCAACAAAGCGACCTAGAGTTCGAATCCCCAACTATCCTCAGGTTTTATTGATTTTTTACTTCAGAAGCGAACGAGTGCAAGCGCGCGTTGGGCCGGCCCATGCCCGCGACGCTGCAGGCGCCAGCTGCTTAACGGGCGCCAGCAGCGCGTCTAGGAGCTCCCCGCTTTAAGCGCTGGTTCTGCATCCTAGCGCACATGCGCCTGAGCTCGTGGGCCGGCCCAACAACTAGACAAATATCGTTGACTGGTTCCATCGGTCGTGTTTCCTCGTCCGGTCGAACGCGGTGATTGGTCGTGGTTGACCAGTTGACTGGTCAACCATTGACTTTTAAAAAACAGAAAAAAACATGAAAAAATCGAAAGAGTAGTGAATTATAAAAACGACATCAATTTCAAAAGGTTCACAAATTTAAAAAACAGTTCGTTGAATTTGGAAAAGTTCATCGGATTTGAAAAAAGGTTCATCAGATTTGAAAAACGTTCATCGGATTTGACTAAAAAGTTCATCGAATTTTAAAAAAGTTAATTGGATTTGAAAAAAAGTTCACCGCATTTGAAAAAAGTTCATCGAATTTGAAAATAAGTTCATCGCATTTGAAAAAAGTTCACCACATTTGAAAAAAGTTCATCAGATTTTAAAAAAAATTCACCGCATTCAAAAAAGTTCATAAAATTTGAAAAAAGTTCGTCACATTTGAAAAAAGTTCATCTCATTTGAAAAAAAGTTCATCTCATTTGAAAAAAGTTCATCGGATTTGAAAAAAAAGTTCACCGCATTCAAAAAAAAGTTCATAAAATTTGAAAAAGTTCATCACATTTGAAAAAAGTTCATCAGATTTGAAAACAAGTTCATCAAATTTCAAAAAAGGTTCACGAATTTGAAACGCAAAATCATGTATTATAAAAAAATGTTTAGCAATAAAAAAGTAAAATGGAAATGAATAAAAATGAAAAAAGGAACAAAACCGTTCCAGCAAGAAAAGAGAACAAAAGAAGTAAAAAGCTATAACTAGACATGTAAAAGGCTGGTAGCTGGTTGGTTACGGTAGCGACCGTTTAACCTGGTGATCCTTTGTTCGAGCCACGACATGTACATGTGTTATTTTTTGTTTCTTTAAAACAGAAAAAAAAATTGAACGTGGGCCGGCCCAGCATGGACATGGGGGTGTGCGACTTGTACCGCTAAGCCTATAACGGGTGCAGCGGGCGCCGTTTAGGAATTGCCTAATTTTTTATATTTCTTGTAATGTAAAAAAATAGAATGGGCCGGTCTAGCTGTGACAAGTGGCGTGCTGTATGTGCATAACCTGTGGGTTTTCGTTTTCCTTGTAGATTCGTTCATTCAAAACGTTTTATCTCTTAAGCGGTGCGTTCAAATTTAAACTGTTTTCGCGTTGGATTCCTCACACTGATATCTTTAACACTAGATCATATGTTGATAGGTTTGATCAACCTTTTTTTAAAAGAAAAAACAGATGAAAAAACGTACGAAAAAACCGAACCGGGGACATGTTTTTTCTTCCTTTCTAAAAGCCGTTTCCAATAGGCATGACCGCGCCTCTCACGAATGCAAAACCATGCTTCACGAAAAAAACACATTCTTTTTCGTTTCACAGATCCACGGCCGTGCCTTCGCGAAAGCAAACCGCGTCTCTCACAGAAGCAAAATTGTGCCTCTGGGGAGAAAAAAATGGCATGTTTCTTCTGTTTCCAAGAGGCACGGCCTCTCACGGAAGAAAGAAAAAAAAAGAGTAAGCACATTTTTTTCATTTCTAAGAGCCCAAGCAAAACCATGCTTCTCACAAAAGAAAAAAAATAAAGAGAAAGCATGTTTTTGATTCGTTTTCGAAAGGCACGGCCATACCTCTCGCGAAAGGAAAACCATGCCTCTCAGGAGAAAAAACATGTTTTTCACGCAAAAAAAAATGATTTTATTTTTAAAAAAAGCTAAGAAAGACCGCTGAAAAACCAAAGTCAATTAAAAACAGTTTAAAAAGCCGAAAACATGTTCATATTTTTTTAAAAAAAACTAGAGGAAGCACACAGAGCACGACACATGGTGCGCTCTCACCCAACCACATGTGGCGCGCCCTCAGCCCACCCATGTGATTGTTGGGGAGGAAGCGCGCTCGTTGGGGAGGCTCTCGAAGAAGCGCTCCTCAACTAGTTGCTCTCTGTTCCCGGGAGGGGATTCAGCCCAGCCCAGGTGGTCGTTGGGGTGGCTCTCGAAGAAGCGCTTCTCAACTAGTTGCTCTCTGTTTCCGAAAGGGGATTCAGCCCGGCCCATGTGGTCGTTGGGGAGGCTCTCGAAGAAGCATTTCCCAATTAGTTGCTCTCTATTTCCGAAAGGAGATTCAGCCCACCCCATATGGTTGTTGTGGAGGCTCTCGAAGGAGCGCTCCTCAATTAGTAGTTGCTCTGTGTTTGGGGGCGGATTCGGCCGAAATATTGGGACTGGAGACCAGTTTTTTGGGTTAGTCCATTAACTTTGTCGAACTTCATACGCTTAGAATTGGACATCAATGACAATTCCTGGGAACCGAACAAGTTTGACATCGGGTGCTGCTCCTCGGACGCGGCCAAACCGCTGCAGCCGGTGGTCTCGGCCGCCACTGACAAATAGGCCCAAGTATATCTGCCACGAAGAAGGAACAAGGGAACAGCTATGCAGGTAAAACCAAGTCACTGACAGGTGGACCAGAGCAAAAGCAGACGAGCGATCACGTGACATGACTCTTAACACGGATGACTGAACAGAAATACAGGACGGCACAACGCACCAAATCTCTTTTTCACCCAACAGTACCAGAAAACTCTTGGCCTGAGCCAGCAAATCAGTGTATGATCTTCCCGTGTGTTGACAAACACAATTCATCTTTACGCCGATCAGACGGCACAGACCGCGAGATTCTGAAGGGTGCTTATTCGTAACTTCGTGTAAACATAAACATCAACTAACTAGGTGACTTCCCCGCACGTTGCTGCGGGATTTTAAAAATTAATTTTGAATACATTCTATATGCATGAAATGATCTAAGTCGAAAGCTATTATTTTCGGAAGTAATTCTATGTGAACAAAAAATATGCATATACGTTGGACTATTGGAGATGGAATAATTAAATTGGGTTATGCATGTGCTACAAAATAGTTCTAGTGGATGATGACATGGCACATTTGGTGATGTGAAGGGCTGCATGTTAAGAGAATTAGACTTAGTGGGGATCAACTATTTATGTATTATAGATTTGACAAATTGCAGCTGATCATCTGAAGATCTGAACGTTCACGGGACTGCAGAACCTTCACCTCAAACCGAATCAAAAGTGCAGCGCCAGAGCGAATTTATGACCAAATCAAGTTATATTATTTTCATCCTACAACAAAACTGCCAAACAACACGATCCGCGCCGAGCACACAGAGCTTGCAAACGGAGCTTGCAGCTTGGCCGGGAAACAGCAGATACAAATCCGGTTTTGGTATGACAGCCTGGAGACTAACCTGATCATTTACATTTTACAGACGGAATGGAATGGGTCCATCACCCATTCTTGTAACCGGATGAAGCAAGGTCTATGATGAAGGCTGCAGCTCGTCTCAATCGGCCATCGCAACACCTTCGTTTTCCTTGATGAAACGACCCTGCAGGTCAGTAAACAAGATGCACACTGTTTGTCAGAACAAGATTGATGAAATAAAATGGAGTAACTAACTAGCTCATGTGCTGCATTACTAGTCTGCACACCAAAGATATCGAATGCACAAGCAAGAACCATGGGGTGTATATGTATTGTCTCCTGTTTACCAGAAATTAAGTACTACAAGAGCAGAAAGATAATTGAGGCGCAGTATTCATTTCCTTCAAGTGATGTGTGAGGATGTGTGTATTCTTTGTAATCGTCAAATGAAAAAGGTCAGCACGGGACCATAATTTTGAGGCTATCTTTCCCTAGCCATGTGGAGAGCTTCAGTTCTGTTTGATCAGTTCATTCAATTGTCGCTGGGACCAGAAGCTGAATCTCTATTCCACGATTTACACACAGATTCCCCGAGGTATAGAATCTAAACATGCTCTCTATGCCAGATTCCCATCAACGCAATTTTGCAGTTGAGATCATTACTGATGCAGTATGTACAGGCACATTGCTAGTAGATCACAGCCACGATAAGGAAACTGCGACAAGTTCAGATACGGCACGAACGCGGTGCGAAAAATTACCTTCAAGCGCGGCCGCCTGACGGCATTGAGCCGGCGAACCTCGTACCGGATCCGCTTGGAGAACAGCCGGGCATGTCGCTTCTCCTTATACCGCCTCACCCGCTCCGCCCTTCCGGACACCTCCGGCGAGCTCCACGTCGCCGCCTGCGGCGGCGGCGCCACATCCACGAACACCTCCTGCAACACAACAAACCCCCGTGTCAGGATTCACGAGCGCGCATCGTCCCTCCGACTCCGAAAAGACAAGGGGGGTCTCAGGCTTACAGAATCGAGCTCCAGCTTGGGCGTGACGTGGCCCGCGGTGCCGCCGATGTAGAGGGACCCGCGGCCCGCCCAGGCGGCCAGGATCTCATCGTAGTCCAGCTTGAGCAGCGGCGACCGCGCGGAGGCGGCGCCCGTGCTCGCGGCCGACGAGCACGAGGATGAGGTGGTGGTCGTCGCAGTGGCCGCGCTCGGCGAAGAGGAGCTGCTCCTGCAGTACACCCACCGCTCCCTCCCCCGGAGCGCGCGCCGCGCAAGGTCCTCCTCCTCCCCGCCAGCAGTCCCCGCGGAGGCGTCCGGGGAGGGGGTGCACGAGGGCGAACCCCCTTCGCCCCCGCCGGAAAAGGAGGGGGAGGACACGCCGAGGATGTCTGTCAGCGACGGCGCCGCCGCGAAGAGAGTCGACGGCGCCTCAGGATGCAGCGCGAACGGCTCGAGCTGCTGCTGCTCGTGCCCGCATGCTTCCCCGGGCGTCTCCACTGCCTCCTCCGCCGACGGCGACGGCAACGCCGAGGGTGGCGGGAGAGAATCCTCCACCGACAGAGATTCGGCAGGCCTGTGGACCTCCACCGTCTTGGCGAGGTGGCGGCTGAGGCTGAGGTACTTGGTCTTCTTCTTCTTCTTCCCCTTGGCCCGGCGCGACCCCCGCCGCCGGCCGCCGCCGCCGCCGCTAGCCATGGCCTCGGAAATACTTTATTGCTACCTCAAGGTGCTCCCTGCAAAATGGGCGAGAGGCATGGGGACATGAGCACGGGAGAAGCTATTTGGAGGGAAAGCGAGGGGATCTCCCGCGGCCGCGAGCAGGGTGGCGCGGGGCCAGCAAAGGCGAGGCACTTTTTCCCCATGATCCTGCGCGGACGTGGCGAGGTTCTGCTGACATGGCTGTGCCTCATTGGCTGGCCAGATTGCGGTGCTGCCTTTTCGCTCGGGGTCCTGCGGGATCTGGAAGGGTGGGGTTTTAACGGCTTCACGGGGGTTTTGTGCCGTGAGGAGGTGGGCGTTCACATCGTCGCCGTTGCGACTTTAACACCAGTACTACGTTTTCATCTTAAGCTAAGCTTCTTCTTGATCTTAAAAGAAGGGTTCTTCCTTCATTTGGCAAAGTATTATGACGGGTGTGAGTACCTTGAAATTTTGTCACATTTGGCGAGTAGAGAATTGTCAGATTATTAATATCTAGGAGGATGTTTGGATTTCAAGTTGTGCAAATCGTAAAATAATTACTTCTAAGAGAGGTCAGTTGCTATGTAAGGTAGCAGATTTGGTTGACCCCGTTCTTAATGTTTAGGATGAAGACCTTCTTAGACAAACCCTATGGTCTATAGATGTTCAGTGAGTAGTCGTGTTCCCTATCTCGCAACATGATATGCTAGATTTCATATATTATAATGTTACAACAAAAAATGATACGTTTTTCGTTCGGTCTGCTTACTTTGTGGAATGGGATCATCAATATGAAAACAAGTTGCCACATACCAATAGGATGGGATGTACCACGATTAATCCTACTTGGGATAGGATTCGGAAACTCTCTTGCCCGGTTACAATATTTATTTGGCATACGCTTCATGGCACTCTTACCTGTCGTTTTAAGCTAGCCAATAGACATTTGACGGTTTTGCCCAATTACCATGTCTGCTCGTCTGGACCAGAAGACAAAAGCATTTGTTGTTTCTGTGCAACAAGGCAAAAGAAGTATGGAGGAGGCTAGGGATGGATGGTATTATCGACACAGCTTGTGAAGTAGACTATGCTGGTGAGGCGCTTTTGGAATATTTACTTTTAATGCCAAATCAGGAGTTATGTATTATGGGCAATCAAAATGGCGTGAAATGATTGCCATATCAGCCTGCTATTTGTGGTGGGAAAGGCGTAAATTGGTTCATAACGAGACATCTCAAAACGCACGACAAATTTCCATGGGATACGTGCCCTTACAGCCAACTTTGTTACTACCTCCTCGCCGAAGGTTTCCATGAAGAGAGGGGGATGGTCTTATCCCCCGACGGGATTTGTGAAATTTAACGTTGATGCTTCTTTTGACCATGACTTACTTAGGGGGACAATGGGGGAGGTCCTAAGAGACGATAACGGTAGGTTCATCGCTGGGAGAAATGGTAAGATTGACTGGTGCGCAGGATTTACTAATGGTTGAAGCTCTGCCCCTAAAATTTGTCCTATCATTGGCGCAAAGGACAGTATACAACCGTCTTATTATTAACTTGGATAATACGGAGGTGATCGACACCATGAAGTAAGGAGGACGATCGTCGGGAGCAGCAACGACAATTTTTTATGATTGTTTTCATTTAGCTTGTGATTTTCTGATTTCTAGATTTGAGTTGTAATAGAGAAGCAAATAAAGTCGCTCATGGACTTGCCGAAGTGGCTAGATTTTCTTTCATTTCTAAATGGTTTGAGGAGCCAAATATTGATATTGTACCAATCCTCATAAATGATGTAATGGTTTATTCTAATGAATAGAGATCAATTCTCTTTCAAAGAAGCTTCTTCTATAATCCCGAGATGCACTGGATTCACACAAAAGATGACACCGAGAGAAGAAATCACTCATGTTTTAGGGGTATTATAGACGCGAGAACATCTCGTTAAGGCACACTCGATCAAGCTTAGGAACAACATAGACTGCCAAAACTAGGGGCATCTTCAGGTGATGCACTAAAATCCATCCTTCGTTCCAGTGGCAGAGGATGATTTTTTCTTTATTAAGAGCATTTCCGATAGAAGATGCAAATTAGAAGTGTAAAAAATTACATCTCCAGAAAGTATTTTTTACATCTTCAAAAAAGAGACAACTCCAACAGATGATGTATATTGGATATGTAAAAGAGCAACTCCAATAGATGGTGCAAAATAGAGATGTAAAAACTAGTGTGTCGCGGTGGAATTGGGGCGGCGGCAGTGTGGCGCGGCGCGGCACGATTCGGGGCGGCGTTAGATGTACGTGGGGGTAGCAGAGGAGCGTCGGAGGGGCGACGGGGGTGACGAATCGGGACGGCGACGAAGCAACGGCAGTGCAATAACCGAGGAGCAGTGATTCAAGGCGGAGAGAGGAGGAGGGGCAACGTAGGGGCGACGGATGTTCGAAATATGCCCTAGAGGCAATAATAAAGTGGTTATTATTATATTTCCTTAATCATGATAAATGTTTATTATTCATGCTATAATTGTATTGATCGGAAGCTTAAATACACGTGTGAACACATAAAGAAATACCAAGTCCCTAGTAAGCCTCTACTAGACTAACTCGTTGATCAAAATATGATTAATGTTTCCTGACCATAGACATGAGTTGTCATTTGATAACAATTTAGCTTAGCATATGATCGCTCAGCTTATTGCTACTGCTTTCTTAATGTCAAATACACCATAAGATCATGCAACTCCCGGATACCGGAGGAATACCTTGTGTGCTATCAAATGTCACTTTGTAATTGGGTGATTATAAAGGTGCTCTACAGGTATCTCTGAAGGTGTCTGTTGAGTTGGCGTGAATCGAGATTGAGATTTGCCACTTCGTATGACAGAGAGGTATCTCTGGGCCCTCTCGGTAATACAACATCACAAGAAACTTGCAAGCAAAGTGACTAAGGAGTTAATTACAAGGTGATGTATTACGGAACGAGTAAAAGAGACTTGTCGGTAACGAGATTAAACTAGGTATGGAGATATGGACGTTCAAATCTCAGGCAAGTAACATACTGGCGGACAAAGGGAACTACGTATGTTGTCATAAAGGTTCGACCGATAAAGATCTTCGTAGAATATCTAGGAACCAATATAGGCATCCAGGTCCTGCTATTGATTATTGACCAGAGAAGCGTCTCGGATATGTCTACATCATTCTCGAACCCGTAGGGTCCTCATGCTTAACGTTCGTTGACAATATACTATTATATGAGTTATGTATGTTGGTGACTGAATGTTGTTCGGAGTCCCGGATGAGATCACAGACATGAAGAGGAGCTCCGAAATGGTCCACAGTTAAAGATTGATATACAGGATGATGGTCGGCCAAGGGGTAAGGCCCACAGGGCTTTAGGTCGGTGGAAAATGAAGTTTTGCGGAGGTCGGGGACCAGACGCCGAAGACCGTGGCGTCTGGTGCTGGAATCCGAGAAGGACTCTTCCTTGCGTTCCAAACCGACTTTGGGGAGACCCTCTCCCCGAGTAACGACCCCAAGGCTCAACATATAAATAGAGGAGCAGGGCTAGCCCCTAGAACACAAGTTTTTGAGCCTCCTCTAGTTGATCTAGTTTTAGTTGGTCCTAATTGACTAATTAGAGTTAGCCCTAACTACCTCTAATCCTCATAATTAGAAGCCCAGTGTGGTTCTAATCTCCTCCCTCTAGTTCATCTTCGATCTAAATCCATTGTGCTCGGTGAAGCCATGCAGAAATAGTTTCACCACCATCATCACCACGCCGTCGTGCTGTCGGAACTCATTTACTACTTCGCTCCTCTTGCTGGATCAAGAAGGTGAGGACGCCATTGAGCTGAATGTGTGCTGAACGCGGAGGTGCCATGCGTTCGGTTCTTGAACAGAACGGATCGTCAAGTTGTACAACTACATCTTTGATAAATGCTTCCGCTTGGCGATCCACAAGGGTATGTAGATGCTCTTCCCTCTTATAGCTATGCATCTCCATGGATAGATCTTGCGTGTGCGTACAATTTTTTTTGCTTTCCATACAACATTCCCCAACAGTGGCATCATGAGCCAGGTCTATGCGTAGATGATATGCACAAGTAGAACACAAAGAAATTGTGGGCGGTGATGCTCATATTGCTTACCAACTATGTCTTATTTTGATTCGTCGATACTGTGGGATGAAGCGACTCAGACCAACCTTACATGTCCATGTACATGAGACCGGTCCCACCGACTAACATGCAACTTGTTTTGCATAAAGGTGGTTGACGGGTGTATGTTTCTCCCATTGTAGTTGAATCTAGTTTGACTATGGCGGTCCTTGCAGAAGGTTAATTAGCAACTTGATAATTGAAAACCCACAAGTATAGGGGGTCGCAATAGTTTTCGAGGGTAGAGTATTCAACCCAAATTTATTGATTCGACACAAGGGGAGCCAAAGAATATTCTCAAGTATTAGCAGCTGAGTTTTCAATTCAACCACACCTGGAAACTTAATATCTGCAGCAAAGTGTTTAGTAGCAAAGTAATATGATAGTAGTGGTAACGGTAGTAAAAGTAATATTTTTGGGTTTTATAGTGATTGTAACAGTAGCAACGGAAAAGTAAATAAGCGAAGAACAACATGTGAAAAGCTCGTAGGCATTAGATCAATGATGAATAATTATGTCGGATGCGATCAATCATGCAACAGTTATAACATAGGGTGACACAGAACTAGCTCCAGTTCATCAATATAATATAGGCATGTATTCCGAATATAGTCATATGTGCTTATGGAAAAGAACTTGCATAACATTTTTTCCTACCCTCCCGTGGCAGCGGGGCCCTATTGGAAACTAAGGGATATTAAGGCCTCCTTTTAATAGAGTACCGGACCAAAGCATTAACACATAGTGAATACATGAACTCCTCAAACTACGATCATCACCGGTAAGTATCCCGATTATTGTCACTTCGGGGTTAACGGATCATAACACATAATAGGTGACTATAGACTTGCAAG